AAATAAACTATAAGGTACCGTAGGGAGAAGCAATCAAAGTATTTTTGTTATCATTGAAAAGTACTGATCGAGTTAATTGAACCTTTAAATAATGATTGATTCATTATAGGGGATGGAGGGCGAATTTTCAAACGTTAATTATGCAAATTAGAAACCCTCTTATCAATATGTTTGATTTTTTATTTGCTCCTCTGTGTTTATCATCACATTTGTTGTCAACCCGTTTATATTATCCATGTGTTAAGTGTTGTGGATACATTTAGGATTTGACGGAGAAATATAGAAGCAGATATGGATTATACACATTAATTATATGTAAATACAAACATAACAAGCATGGATCATTAATATATATATATATATATATATAGCACCTGATTTTTTCGGTTTAATGATTTTGTCAACTTTAATGGGTGCACCTCCGACTCTTTGGGTTGAGTTAGATTTTCTGACTTTCAATTTGTAATTTGTTCAAAAATACATATAGTTAAATAGAGATAAACATGATATAATTGAAGTTATAAAAATAAAGTGTAGTTGAAATATTCGACATCATAGAATACTGCTTTTAACAGTGCTTATACACATTATTATTTATGGGGCACGTCAACTTAAAACTTTATCATACTTAAATAGATACTTAAATATGTCTTTAATTAAGAGAAATGATATATAGGCTAACAAAAATTTTAAATACAATACAATAAGCTATATAATATGATTTAATATTAAAGAATTAATTTTTTTATTTAGAGTCACATATAAATTTTACTTTTTTATTTACTATTACATTATATTGTATAATATTATCATTTTACTTTTAATTAGCATTACCGTTTATTTTATTGATAATTTCATTTTCATTTTTTTCAAAACATGCGTAAATTTTTTTTGTTTCCATTTTAATTGCTTGAAAGCCATCTTTTATTAACATAACTTTTTTTTTCATTATTAATCATGTAGTCTAATAATAAAATTATTTGTGTTTTTAATTATAAATTTAAAATTCAATTCTTAATCTTTACATACATAATTTTTTTTTCTATCTCAAGCTCTATTTGGAACAATGAACATTTGAGTGTGAGTTATAGGTTATTTATTTATTTATTTTGAATTATACAATGAATGCAACTATATTTTATTCCTTAACTCATTTCACTCATATGACAAGCGATTCAAATTTAAAACCTTTTAATTCTATTGAAAGAAATTATTATTAAATTATTTAAATTATTTGGGATTATAAATTATATATTTTAAATTTGAATTTTAACGTGATTTTTGATTTTTTTTAAAATATGCCTATATTCTCTTGTACAGCTAGCTCATTACTTGATATTTCCTTACCATAAACTCATAAATGCACATACTAATTATAGAAAAAGTTTTTCACAAATTTGTCCTTCTAAATTTTTTTAGAGGATTGATTTTTGATTCCTTAAAAATTTATCTTTTAATTAATATTTTAAAAAATTAATTGTTAAATTAAAAGTTTTATTTATATAAATTATGTATATTAATTTTAAAATTATTTTAATAAATTTAATTATTTCATTAATTATATAAAATTTAATGCCATATACATGAATAAAAATTTTTTTTTCTTATTATAACCTTACAAATTTATTTTACACTACAATTATGTAACGCCTGTTTGGCCAGCAAAGCACGCTTTAACCGCTAAATTCCAGTGGATCCGGTGAATCAGTGTCATGCCTTCCAAATCTTCCCGTCCGTAGATTCGGTTGACGACAGAATGATTCCCATGTGGATCCCGCTTTTCTTCTTCACTGCGAAATTATGAGACTCCGAGCACTTATCTCCGGCGTACGATACGTCAACGCAAGTCCATCATACCCCTCCATTTGTCATACTTCACCTGTCTATCACCATCAACGGCTAAATCCCTCCAAAAATTTTAAACTCTCCCAACCTATATATACACTCTTCCCCGTCCCCTCCACTTTCCGTCTCTTCGCTTTCTCTTTCACTGTCCCCAACTCCCGACCGTGGCTCTGTCCCGTCTCCTTCTCCTTTTCTTTTTGAGATTTTTTTGAAAACTAGTCGTCATTTCATTGGTCGGAATCGGAATCGATCTTGGAGTCAGCTTGCGGCTAAAGTTCTCTGATCTGAGACGAATCATTTCGCATGCTTCTTGAATTTCGGTGGATTTTTGGAAAGCGAAAGCGAAAGCTACTTTTCGGCTGGTAATTTTCTCAGATTTCAAGTTGAAATGATTTTCTGTTTGGCGTGGAAGAAAATCGAAACTAATTGATTTTCTGTTTTTTTAATCAATTTTCCACTATGAGTTACTATCAGTTGCTGTTGAAATCAGTTCCAGCTTAATTTTCTGATCGGAAAACGGATCATTTCGTGTTCTTCTTGATCTTTAGTCGAATGTTCGAAAAGCACACTTTGAACTTTGAACTGTTTAGTGTCTCAGATTTATCTGTTTGTGTTCCTGATATTTAGATTTTTTGAATCTTGATGAGTTTCGAAGAACATGATTTTGTACTTCCTTTTGCAGAGTTTTGTGTAGAATTTGAAGGTTGAAGTCTCTGAAGAGACAGTTTTCAGATCCTAAATCTGAAGTTTGGAGATCGTTTTGAGCTTGCTGCGGAGCTCTTTGCCTAGACTGAACTGAATCCTTTTGTTTTTCGTTATCAACTTATTTCGCCTGGTAGTGTTAATCTACCATGGCGATTGACATAAGCTCTCTTTTTGCAAAGGCCGGGGCCCTCTTAGCCTCTGATCATACTTCGGTAGTGTCCATGAACTTGTTTGTTGCGCTTCTTTGTGCTTGTATAGTGATTGGTCATCTCTTGGAGGAGAACCGATGGATAAATGAGTCAATTACAGCCCTCGCTATTGTGAGTCTGCATTTGCAGTGCATTCCAATATGTTCCTATTTGGCTATTATTTGATTTTGTGGTGGCTGATTAAATTGCATTTTTTGCAATGAATTAATGGCAGGGCTTGTGCACTGGAATTGTAATTTTGCTAACCACTGGAGGGAAAAGTTCTCATTTATTAGTATTCAGTGAAGAACTGTTCTTTATATATCTGCTTCCACCCATCATCTTCAATGCAGGGTGAGTCGGGTCTATATCATTGTCTCTTACTCTCCTTCTTTGCAAGTTAAGATTAATTTTTGTTCAGAAGTACTTGATTATAGCTCTTCTATAAGGTTTTTAACCAATTAAGGTGTGGGCATTTGGAAACTGGTTCTTGTGAGATTGTGATCAAGCTATTTAAGCAGCACATGTAGCCATTATACTAAAGGCTGAGGATGATGAAGCTTGTATTAGATAGAGCTAAGCTGAGCAGTTTTGATAGTTTACGAGTCCCTAGTCGTTGTACTTATCTTGAAGAGAGTGGTGCTGTACCTTTAACTTAATGGTTTCTGATGCTTTCTGTAGAGCTCTCTACCTGAGGTTAAGCCACGTCTTCTAAAGGGAGACCTCCAAGAAAAGTAACCTTCAAATGTTGCCAAATCTCAAGTTTGTGTTTTGAATTAGCATGAACTGAATGGTATTTTTTTTCAAGTTTTTGGATGTGGGACTTTATTTATATTTGCTTTTTCTTACTGTATATATTTAGATAATGAAATTAAAATATTGGAAGTAGACAGACATTGATCCTTGTTGATGTTTCTGTCAAAGCAGATTCCAGGTGAAGAAGAAGCAGTTTTTCCACAACTTTATGACTATCGTGCTGTTTGGTGCAGTTGGTACTCTAATATCCTTTATCATCATCTCATTAGGTAGGTGCAAGGATTTTATTATCTCCAAAATTCTCATTTATTTTCATGTTCAGAAGTTCAAAGGAGCCACACAATCCATGCATTGTTGCCAAATCTGAAGTTTGTGTATTGACTTACTAATTTTTTGTTGGGTTTATCATCCATTCTTAACTATGAATAGTGAAGTGACATACATTGTTGATACTAATTTTCTGTTGGTTTGATTATTAATTGCTGAATGCTAATTTTGTTTCTACTACCTGCTATTTCCTTTTCTTTGTTTTGACCTAGGTGCTATGCAATTTTTCAAGAAAATGAATATTGGTCCCCTGACAATAGGGGATTATCTTGGTATGTTCATGACTCTCTTTTTATACTTCTTTCTTTCATTTTTTTTTTTTTTATCTCAGCATTTTTTCCTACTTCTTTCATTTTTGTTTATATTTTCTTCATTTATCTACTCACCTTTCTCCATTGGTTGCAGCAATTGGGGCCATCTTTTCTGCAACAGATTCTGTTTGCACTCTGCAAGTATGAGTGCTTTAAAAGCAGTTGTCTTGTTACTAAACATGAAGAGCAAATTAAGCTGACCTCTATTTATCCAATCTGTGGTTTTTCAGGTGCTTAATCAGGACGAGACACCCTTATTATACAGTTTGGTTTTTGGAGAAGGTGTTGTCAATGATGCCACGTCGGTGGTGCTTTTCAATGCAATCCAGAGCTTTGACCTCTCTCATATCAACTCAGGCATTGCTTTGCAATTAGTTGGAAACTTTTTGTACTTGTTCATTTCAAGTACCATGCTTGGCGTCTTGGTCAGACTTTCTTTTTGTTCTCACATCTTTTTTCCTTGGCTGTGGTCAGATACGTTTCTTAGACTCTTCTTACTTATTTCTTGCAGGCTGGACTGCTTAGTGCATACATCATCAAAAAGCTCTATTTTGGAAGGTTTGTACATAAGTACAGTGCTGATGAATTTTCCTCATGGTTTTATGATTCAGCAGAGGGTAACTTGAAGTATTCAATAAATTTAATGGGATAGAGCTATAGAAATATCTAATAATTTAGTGGTGCAGAGCTATAGATTAAAGAAAGTTTAACAAACATTGAAGTTTGGCTTAATTTAATAAATCATTTATTATTAACTATTAACCTTTTATGTTTTAGTCTAAAATCTTTATTTTCTGCTAAAATCATCTATTAACTTCAAAATTATTTCAATTTTGTCTAGTCCAACACAACTCTGTTAGTTTTGGTATTGAAATTTCACATATTTGATTGTGTGGCACATAAGCTGCTGTGTGGCCCGAAAGGAAGGCAAATTTGTTTCAAAAATTTCCACCATATAAAGCAATTTTTTATATTAAGAATTAGTCATAAAGAAACGGCAGAAATTTCCCTCATTTTTAGGCCAAGTGGTGGTTTATGTGGCACCACACAATCAAAAACGTGAAATTCTGTCAATTCAGTTAATGGACTTGCGTTGGACTAGGCGAAATTGAAACAAATTTGAAAGTTAATGGATGCCTTTGGAAGAAAATAAAGATTCTAGACTAAAATGAAAAAAGGTCAATAGTTACTAGACAATTTATTAAATTAAGTCTTTAAAGTTCTATTTAAACTATGAGCCTATGAGTACTTCATGGAAGAATGAAATGATATATTTTGGTTAGTGAGGGAGGACTTTTGTTGTTCCTTTTAAGGTGGCATTCTCATATGTCTGTTCTTGTAAAACCAGGCACTCAACTGATCGTGAGGTTGCCCTTATGATCCTGATGGCCTATTTCTCATATATGCTGGCTGAGGTAAGTTACCTCATAAATTGTGGGCCACTCTCCTGTTTCACTTTTTCCTTGACAACAAGAGCCTGTAGGCAAAAGCCACACTAACTACCTTATTGGAAGCTTTATTTTCTTGCAGTTATTCTATTTGAGTGGCATTCTCACTGTATTCTTCTGTGGAATAGTTATGTCTCATTACACATGGCATAACGTGACAGAAAGCTCAAGAGTGACAACTAAGTATGTTCAATATACCTAGAATCCAACATTTGAATAAGCAAACTGTTTGTTATTTTTTTTTTTTTATTTTGGAGAGTTTCCTGCCAACTTTACATATCTTTAATGTCTTATTGCTTCTTAACTATTATTGCAGGCATGCTTTTGCCACACTGTCATTTGTGGCAGAGATCTTTATCTTCCTTTATGTTGGCATGGATGCTTTAGACATAGAGAAGTGGAGGGTTGTAAGTGATAGGTAAGGTCAACAAGGAACTGTTTTTTACATTATCTGTAACTAACTTAAACGTTGTTATCAATACTTGCCTTTTACTTTAAGATTTAAATATTTTTTCTCAGCCTTGGAAAATCAGTTGGCGTGAGTGCAGTTCTATTAGGACTTATTCTTCTTGGAAGAGCAGCCTTTGTCTTCCCCCTTTCCTTTTTATCCAACTTGACCAAGAAATCTTCATACGAGAAAGTTGATTGGAAGCAACAAGTATGTGTTTCAAGCTGCCTTGGTTTTTGGTTTCAATAGCCCTGAACAATTGAGTCAAGTTTCTCTATGCACATCTTTTCAGGTTACCATTTGGTGGGCTGGTCTTATGCGTGGTGCTGTTTCTATGGCACTTGCTTATAATCAGGTATAAGATTGCACTGTTTCCTTCTCTACAGGCCATGGAACGTTGGATGTTTTTTTATTATCTTTAGTAGGGAGTGCTCTTACACAAATTTCTAAACATCAAATATCCATATCAGGTCCTCATACACTTTGACTTTGATGGGGAAAATGCTGAATTCTTCATTTTAGACTTGCAAGGCATTAGTTGTAATTATGTCAGTTTCCCTTCGTTTCTTGCAAATCTGAGTAGGATAATGTGATTTGATTTTTGCAGTTTACCAGCTCAGGTGGCTTTACTCAGTTGCGGGAGAATGCCTTGATGATCACGAGCACCATTACGGTGGTTCTTTTCAGCACAGTGGTAAGACACTTATCCCCTGCAAATCAAGAACTCAGGAGTCAGGTTTCATTTTTTTTCCGCACTTTTTGTCAGAGCTCAAAATCTTGTGCATTTTGTTATTTTGTTTTTATTGTAGTCTTATGTTATTTTGTTTGTTTCAACGATACAGGCTTTTGGGTTAATGACTAAACCATTAGTGAGAATCCTGCTTCCTTCATCAAAACAACTGACCAGAATGATTTCTTCGGAACCGTCCAGTCCTAAATCACTTATTCTGCCATTTCTTAACAACGAGACAGAGAGCGAAACCAGCCAGCAAGGCAACACAAGCATCCCCCGCCCCACCAGCTTAAGAATGCTTTTGAGCGCTCCATCTCACACTGTCCATTACTACTGGAGAAAATTCGATAATGCTTTCATGCGACCTGTATTTGGTGGCAGGGGTTTTACACCCTTTGTTCCCGGCTCACCCACTGAACGAACCGAGCATCAATGGCAATGAAAAGTAGCTATGAAGGGGAGTATATACGCCTGTACTAAGTTATGAAGGTGTAGGTAGGGCAGCAACTGGCTTTGAGTGTGAAATTTGTTGTTAACATTCCAAGCTTCAGGGTTGGCTTGTTTCATCAATTTCGTCCAGCACGGATAGCTGCCATTCTTGTCTTTTTCTTCTGGTGGCTCTCAAATTTGCAAGTCTATACATGAATATACCATACCATAAAGTGGGTATGTAAGGTTTGCTATTTTTTCAAATTTGGCTTTTATGGTAGGTTTTCTCTGTTGGTTGACCGAATGATTCCTCCTGGATCTGTACCCTCGAATTTTGATCGATTGAATAATATGTTGTTGTGTATTATTACAGCGAAAATAAATTTCTCATGAAATGTTTAAAAACTTAAAATTTTGTGTTGGAAGTATTGAATTTAAATTTTGAAACAATTGAGAAATGAGTGGAAAGGGTTTAGATATTTGATGAAAGAGGATTATATTAAGATATATAACTCATTACTAAACGTATGAAAAAATAAAAAGAAAATTATATTAGTGTAAGATAATATGCTATTTATTTGTTTTTAATAAATTTAATTTAATTTTTTAGGTCTAAATTTTAGATAAAAATTTAATATATTATATAAATGATAATTAAATTTTTTTTATCAAATAAATATACTCAACAAAAATTATATATAAGAAAATTTTT